TCTAAGGTGCTAGAAATGTGTTCATGCAAATAAAAATGATGCAAATGTTTATGGGCTACTCCTATTCCTCAGTCATGTTTTTGGTTTTGGCCAAAATTGAATTACTTCAATTTAGGCCACTAGTGCATCCTTTTATTATTGGGATAATTTCAGAAACCTCCCCTGAGGTTTTGACAATTTCACTCAGCCTCCTTAATTTTAGAAAATTACATTAACCTCCCTTCCTTTTACTAATTTAGTAACACAATCCAGACCCAATAGACCAAAACTATCTTCAAATATCCTAATATACCGCAAAATTATATAGTCTATACAGAAAAGGGAAAGCAAAAATTTTTACTCATCAGTTCTTCACCTTGCGTGAAAACTAGAATCTTACCAAATTGATCATGACGTTACCAAACTGATGAAGCAAACTTGATCAACTTTGGTAGTCCTAATTTTGATTCCTAAATTCCACCAATTTTTGCAGCCCCAAAATCCCTAATTTTTGCCTCTTTCACCACAAATCAACTATAAACCAAGATACCACCACCTTATATGCTTCTAAAAGCTTACTTACAACCTCATATCACCTCAATTCTACAACCAATCCTGTATTCGTGAATTTTGCACTCCAAACTATGAACCAAATGCGTATAACCTACCTAATAAAAAAAAAAAAGCTAGACCTCAACTACTTATACCAACACTAAGAGCAACCCTAACCTCCAACCATGCCTAGAAATAGAGAGCCACCAGTCTGTAGGCAAACCAACAGCTAAAAATTGCAAATAAAAAAAACACCTACATGGAGACGTTAATATTTTTGTGCACAGTAAACATAATAACATACCATCATCCATCCTTCCAGCAATCAACTTCAAAATTTTTTTTCTTTATCACTATCATCTTCTTCATCTACATCTTGCTTAAAAAAGGAAATCCGCTTGCTCAATTTGTGAATTTGGCAATTTCAGTTCTCTATTATGAGTGAAGGATAATAAGAATTGAAAAAACTAATGGGGCTAATAGTATAATAAAAAAAAAGAGAAAATAAGATTGGAAATAAACACTGTTCTGTTAGGTTTGCATGGTGGTGTAGTTGGTGGCAGGGAAGCAATGGTGACTGGTAGTGTGGAATTATGGGAAAAATGTGATAAGAGATAGAAGAGAACAGGAGAGAAAAAGAAATAAGGAAATAGGGATTGGTGGTTGAGTCATGAACAAAGAGGAAGAAGTGTTGTAGGTTTGTAGCGGCAATTTTTCCTTTTCGTTAGGATTTGTTTTTTATATGGTGTGAATTACCTGTCAAACCAAGGACATTGTAGTCATTTTACTGCTCCAAAGGAGGTCAATGTAATTTTCTAAACCTGGAGGGAGCTGAGTGAAATTGTCAAAAACCTCAAGGGGGGTTTCTGAAATTAACCCTTTATTATTTCATAGATCAAGAATGGTGAGAACATCTTTCTCTGGTATGATAATTGGCACCCTAGAGGACCTTTGTTAACAGCCTATGGTTCTGAAATAGCAAGACAGTTTGGAAGCGAGCTGCAGGCTAGAGTCTCAACTATTATAGAAAATGGTGATTGGATGATTCCATATTGAGAATTTTGTACAACTCCTCCCATTTAGACAATCCTTGAATGCTGACATCCAAGACTCAGTAAGGTGGTTGGCTAGTAAGACTGGTACCTTTTCTGTTCAATCTGCAGTTGAATCGTTAAAACTTCAATCTGTTGAAGTTCCCTGGCACCACCTTTTATCAAATGAACTATGATCTCAACTATCAAATGAACATGACATGAGAGTATTATTATTGTATTTTCTCCGTATAGTATTTTTTTTTCATTCATCTCAAATTATAGTCCACTTTCTAATTAAATAATAAAGTTAGTTTTTAAATTCTCTAAAATGCCCTTATTTAATGTACTTTTTATCTATTAGTATTCACATTTATGGAAAAAAATAAATCTCCAAAAGGGACTGGTGTATAAATCATGCACGGACTAATTTCTAAAGTTTAACTCATGTTACCTTCAACAAAATTATACCACGGAGTGCTTTCACTTTATTTATATTATTGAGATAGAGATAGACAAACCTATTCGATGAGGAAGGGGTTGAATTAGATGGTGAAATGAGAGAGGTTGTAAATAAAAAGTTTTAAATTTAAATTCTTCCACTTAAAAAAAAAAAAAGAAAACTATGAGTCGATGTTGTGCTCTCAAAAGAATTAATTTGCTTTTCTATTCAAATATAACACGCTAAGTTGCTTAGGTGATTTTCTTAGAAAATTGGCTTAATTTCTTGTATACAAGTTTCTTGTTTTGTATAGAAATAATTAGTTTCTTAATTATTTAGATACTTAAAATAGTAGCTAAAGAATTTTCTATTTCTATCAATTTAGAAATTAGAAATTATTTCTTATTCTGTATAAGTTTAGTAATTAGCCATAAATTTTTTTCCTATTATTACTTAGGTGTTGGTCAAATAAGGTTACATATAAATAAGTGGGTGTCAGTATACTACAAGGGGACAAACAAGGGAATACATGTTGCATTATACATACAAGGGGTGAGAAAGGGTTCTTGAGAGGTGAGAGAAATTATAGAAAAATTGAATTTGGGTTCAAGTTACACTCTTGTATGGGTTTTATTCTCTCATAATAAAAATTAAAGAACATATTTTCTCTCCATTGATGTAGATTTAGTGATAGAGGCGAATCACGTTAAATCTTGTGTGTCGTTTGTTTTTAATGCTTGTGATTTGGTTGATATTAAATTATTGTGTACTTAATATCTCAATAGTTATTTGTTTTGCACTTGAATTGCAATAGATTCAATTCTCAAAGGTAAAGATGAACTAAATTTTAAGCAATAAGCTGTGTTTTATTACTCAAAACTATACCATGAAAACGAATAAGCTCCAAATATCCCTTACCAAATAAAAAACTATATCTTATATCCACCAGAACAATAAAATCACTTTACCAATCAAAACAGTAACTAATAACCATATGCAACCAATCAAAACCTTTTGACTCTCCTCAACAATCAAGATAGAGTAAAAACTTTACCACTTGAGGCAACGAATAACAAGTGGACTAAAGAAAAATCACATCTTGTAACCAACCGATTCAATTAGTATAAAGGAAAGCAAGAGCAAACCCATAAAATCAAATGAGTGTTTGGATATAAGATTATCTGGAAAAAATTATTAGGAATGATACTATAGCACTTTTGTGATATGATACATGTGAGATAAAAAAATAATTAGAATTTAAAATGCAAGGGCAAGTTATACTTTACCCTCCTATGATTTAGTATTTTTTTACATAACCCCCCCTCATGATTTGGATTAGAGTGTCAAAGTGACAGAAATGATCATTCGTAACGGAGTCACCTAAAATGTCAAAAATAATCTTATGTAAGGTTGAAAATTATTTATTAACCAAGTGGGGTTATGTGTATATTTTGAAAATCATAAGGAAGTTATATGGTAAAATATTAAACCATAAGCGGTTATATGGTAAAACATAAAAATCATACGGGGTTAGTGTGTCATGTATTTATAAGGGTAATTTCGACATTTTTAAAAGTTACATTACGAATGATTATTTCCGTCACTTTGACATCCAAACCATGAGAGGGTTATGTATAACTTTTGAAACCTTAGGAGGCTACATAAAAAATACTAAACCAGAGGGGGGTAAAGTATAATTTGCCCAAAATGCAAGTAGGATAATGTTTGCCAAATTTTTTTCTCAAGTTAAACTATCCAAACAGACCTACGTACGAGTTGCTGTGCTGCTCCAACGAAAGAGCGAGCACATTACAAAGGGAAGAAAACCATTGGATTTGTGTTATATGTATCAGAGAAGTAGCTGTAGATTTTAATGCATAATCATAATGTACAAGTGGCCAAAACTAGAGGTTCGCTTGTTACTGCAAGAAAAGTTGTCCTACAGATACATTGTACATAAGCCAAAACTCATTCAACCAATAATTCAGGAACAGTTTTGGCAAAATAATGGTTGGAACTTGGACGAGTTCCACAAAATTAGTAATTGATAATATCACATTCTATCGAAGCTCAAAAGTCATTAGCTTGTTCAAAAAAAGCTACTGTAATGTCAGAATTCGAGTTTTAGAATAACACCAAGCATCTTAAATAACATACAGTTCAGGTCATTACACTTCCACTCATGGTTGCCGCTGAATTTTGTTAGTAATTGGACTAAAATTTCAAGAACTTGGAAGATTCAAATGCGCGTGCTGCTTAGTCATATGATGACTCTTCTGCATGCTTCTATAGTTACTATCCAAGTCTTTTTCAATCTTTTAGCTCCCATCATATATCATCTAACTATATATGTTATTTAACATACAGAGATGGAGCGAAAGCACCAAGGAACAAAGAAAAATTATTACATTTACCTCCGAACGCCAAACACCAACACTTTGCGCAGCCACAATGGAGGATAAATGTTACGCCAAATTGCATATTGCTCTGGCTTTCCTTCAATTCAACCGAATGTAAAAGGGTAAGAAGCCAATTTGTGCAGCAATTGGGATCGACAGCAACGAAGAGAGGAAGAAGAGGAGGCAGCAGGAGAGGAAGTGGTGAGAGGGACTAAGTCCCTACTCTCTTTGGATTATAGGTTGGGGGTTTGAACCCCACTTACAGTGAAAAAAATTCAAAAAAGGTGTTAAAGCACTCTTTTTGGTTTAGTTAGGTCTATATATCTGTCAATCCCTTTCACAGCTTCTTTAGGCTCCCGTTCTTATAGAATATGATATATTAGATTATGCAAATGTTATCATTGCCCGAAAAAAAAAAAGGAGAGGAATCGGTGGCAATTTTTTTTTTTTTTATCCCACCAAATGAATTAATGTGCTGATAAACCATTAAACAAACAAACAGCTTAGATGAATGGTCAAGATGCCATACGCAAGGATGCTTTTATTATAGTAAGATAAGATATAAATTTCGTTATATAATTGTGACCAATTAATCCTTCAAGGACCATATACACCTACAAAACTAGCGGTCGAGGATCCTATGTATAACTTCCCCAAGAATTCTTGTACTTCGCTAATCAAGTTATTTGTATACTGTGCGGTCAAGTTCACTGTTGCCTCAACAATGCCCAAGTCGCCATTGATCCTTTGCCCAACAGACGAAGTTGTCTGAAAAGTGTGCCGATTTAAAATGGTCACAGCTGCAAAAAAATCCCCTGAAATGGTTCTTTTAATGTTATCTGGGCTCCCTGGAAGATTGACCAATATTTCTGAGGAGCCAGCCTTTGGACCTCTCACCCAGTATCTTCGAACTCTCGATGCAATATATTCGTCAATCAGAACGTATGCACCACACTTGCTTACAGCAACTCCAAGTGGTCCAGACAGTCCATTTAGCAACAATGACAACGTTTTAGTCCTTACATCATATTTGTATAACTTTCCTGAAGTGTCATTGCTCTGGATGATCGTGGAAAGATTCCTGCAAAATAATCAATTTTGCCCAGTCTTATTAGGCATGTCAATCTCCAAGAACGCTTAAATAATTTGATGATATTGGAATTTTCAACGAACCTGGACAAAAATATTGCGCCAGCATCTGTGAAGTAAACGATTTGATTAGCTTGGTCGATGTCTAATGCATTTGGAAATACAAAAGTGGTGCCATTGAATCCAGTTGCTAGCGGAGTTGCAAGCCCTCCACCAGGCGAAACCACTAGGAAGCCGAATTTGAAGTCAAGAACATATAATTCACCGGTTTTGAAGCTAAAACCGAGGCCCAGTGGCCTTCCACATGTTGATGCAGCTGAGCTATTGGCACCATCACATAGTTGCTTGGTCCTGAATCCTAATTAGAAGAAAATTTTAAGGAAAACACATTCTTGTCTGGTGAATTAGGTAGAAACCCGTCAAAGAAAAAGGAAGATTTTCAATTGTTTTGAAGAAAAATAACCATTCATTACATGATCAATTCTGTTACTAATTTTACATTTAATTTTGGCAATGGAAAAATTTTGGACCAAACGAGGAGAGGCAACAGCCGTAATGAGAGATCTAGCTAAAATGAGAAGGCTATCAAGCGATAGCAATTGGAGGAACAGAAAAGAAAGAAGAATGACAATAATGAGAAGGGGAAATGTGGAGAAAAGAAAAATAGCCGAATTACTTTGTACTCCCCTGAGATTTTGTTAATTATCACGTGACGTTTCTAACGGTTCAAAATATTCAAGTGAAATTGTTAGAAACCTCAAGAGAGGTTTCTGAAATGATCCCTTTGTGAAATCCGGCTACCATTACTGAAACGGAACTTGTCAGGCCCCACACTGGTTAAAATCCAACACAGTACTGACTTCTTTGGTTTGATAGTTTAATGAGACATTGGTGTGAATCGTTGAAATTCAGGTTGTTGGTCCAATTTTGACTTCTGCAAAAGCTAATAGAGTAGTTGGCTTGTCAACGCCACATTTTGTGACCATATGTTAATTTGGAGAGCTAGCGAGCTCAGTTGCAAGAAAGTTTGAGCACATACCTGATACCTCAAGAATGAGGCCGTGATAAAATAAAGATTGATATCTCAAAAAAAAAAAAAAAAGAGCTCAAATTAATGTATTCTAAAAAAGTAATGTTTATTTTGTGAATGTTATCTACTGTATGCACATTGAGTATGACAAAATTATTCTTTTGCCTCCATCACCAGTAAATCTAATACATTAATGCCTATTTCTTTTTTTTGATGTGTGATTTCTAATTCCAGGTAGAACATTCTTCTCCATAGAGGAGATGTGCTGCTTTTCACATGAAATGAAACAGGGTAGAAGAATTTGCACTTGCCCATTGGTCCCTCAAATTTCACAACAGACAAGCACTAATTTGTTCTCCTCCTTAAATAGTACATAGTGGCAGCGAAAGCAACCCTGCGAACTGGGCAGACAAAGGAATTCTAAGAGCAATTTTGTATTAAAAACAAGTTGAATGGGAAGCATGTGGAATCCTGGTTTTAAGCCCCTTCTTTACATCAGATTCTTCAGAAAAGGTGATAAGTATATGCTTTGCTTGCTTCTTCCCCAACCTCTCTTTCATTATCGTAATCTAATTCTATGTAACATGCTGCTTTAATTTTCTATACGAAAGCTTAAGATTCGAATGCCTCTTAGTCCTGATCACTTACAATAAACCTACTGTCTCAGTTGACTTTCAAGATCTAGCAGCCTCTTTTTTGGCAACAAATCTGAAGATTAATTATTATATAGCTGTTGTACTTTCTTTTGGGATACTTCCTGGAAGATTTTTAACAAATATATATATATATATATATATGTATACAGCAGGAAACTTGGATTTTTTTTTTTAAAAAAAATTGAAGTAGCCTCATGGTACAAAGACATCGGATCTGGGGTCTCACCGGTCCCTTTTAGGGTAAAATGTGTCTTCAGACACAAAAGATTTTTCAACTATATTATTTTGCTTACATCATAAACACGTTTTACACTAATATTTTATATTCTCAACCACATTTTTATCTTCGATATATTAAATAATAAAAAATATTATACTCCGTAATTATTTTAAATAATATTTAAATAGTACTTTATCCAAACATGTCATTTCAAATTCTTTTACTCCTTACTCCAATTTATTTACATTTTACTCCAATTTGTTTACATCTTAACTAAATTTTTTACATCCTTCTCCAACTTGTTTAGTCTATAGGGACGAACTGGTTTGAAATGGAACTTGTGAGCCCCATCCCCCCCCCCCCCCCAAAAAAAAAAAAAGGTAGAAGGGAACAATCAATAAAGTCTGATCTTTATGTCGGAAAACATTTTCTTCCAAGCTATTTTTCCCTTTTTGAACCATGAGCAAATTTGCAGCTGCAATGACTTCTTGAGCCAAAATTTTGGTCCTCTTGATTTCTATTAGGAGGAAACTGCTGCAGTTTGCACGTGTTTTTGAGCACTTTCAGTTTCTTTCCTAAGAGGCGTACGTCCTAAAAGCCTGTGTTAGTACGCCAATTTTCTCATTCTTTTTGGATTTGCGGCTGCCTAATTAAAGACGTTCAACTTTCACTTTTCCATTGTCAAAAAACATACAAAAGAACCCAAAAGAAAGGCTAAAGATCAACACAAGATGAAGAGGAACTAGATTCAAAGTGAGATGAAGCCAATAAATAAAGGAAATTATACAATGGGGCTACTAGTTTCTTCGTAATCACACTGACTAGAGGAGACCTCAGTTAGAACACTTGGATCAGAGAAGAAAGAACTGGAGGACGAGGTTGAAGCTACTTCACTCAAGTTGCCAATAGTGAAATTTTCGAATCTATGCTGGTCCATTCTCACATTTTGCTCGGCTATATTCTTATAATTCTTGCAAACCTGCACAGTTTCATCTACAGCTTTGGTGCTTCCTTTCTTCAAAAATATATGGCATAGAACCCAATTGCCCAATTGGACCGAAGAACTCTGCAAAACATTAAAAAGTAACCAAAAAAAAAATTAAACAAATGATTAACGGATCAAGAACACAATTATCTGGCAAAGAACATATTCCACGCATTGAGTGAAATCATAATGTGTAGTAGTTCCTAAGCCATGTGGAGACTCTAAGGCACTATAGAGAATCATATTCGGGTTCCACTGATACTAGTAATTGGTTTAATTAACTGTTGTACACTTACATATGTATATGTACGTTGACTTATTTAATAGATAATCTGCAATACCAAAAGAGATGAGTTGTCTATTTATAATACTCATTTGTACGTAACATAGAGTGATTCACTTTGATAATTCAATACTTAATGATCTGTGACATAACTTGTCCGACCTCTTACTTTATTTTATGCTCCAATGCTAAAGAAGCACGTAGAACTAGAATATATCTATATTACTTATGAGGTTCTCTTTTCTTTTTTCCTTTTCCATTCAAGTGGTCCTCAGAACTTGAATATATCTATATTCAATCTCATCCATAATCCTTTTAAGAGTTTACCTGAGAAGATTTTGCAGTTTGTTGCGAGCAGCAGGCTGTTTTTCCTGTGAGGATAAGGCGATATTCATGCATGATCCAATCCGTTCTGGAGCCATGCGGAGACTTCCCTTTGTGGAATACCAATGTTTTCCTTAACCCCAGCAGCGGTTTTCTCCTGGAAGACACAATTTGTTTGTCTACACCAGTGGCCTTCCAGTAGCCAGTATCAGTAGCTCTATTCGTCCTGTTACCGTTAGGGTACTTGGCTTCCTTGTTGCTGAAGAAATATCTGTCTTGCTCCAAATCACCTATACAAATATCATGCAGGTCAAGAAAATCAGCAAATTTATATACCCGCAGCAAGTTTTTGATACCATACCAATCTTTCCCTTCCCAAGTTAAATCAAATAATACTACTACTTTGACTTGGATAGATAGTATTATCGTTTTTACGAGAATTGCTGCAGCATTAAAATGTGAATTATGACAAATACCATTTCCCATCTATAAGCCGGGCAGCTTAATACATTTTGTAGCACTAGTAAGGGCAAGACTTTGTGCCCACGTTCGACTGACATTCTTGACAGTCCATTTGTTTTTCCATAATTTAAGATGAGGTTGTATTTCAAATCAGCTTAATCATGGTAAACAAGAAAATTGAAAAGGTTATGGTAAGAGTTCAAAGTGAGCACTGAGTTCTCGAGGTAATTACCCGGCAAATCCCAGGGATCATGCTTGCAGACATTGATCTCAGGAATGATTGAAGCAGGCAAAGGACAAGAAAATGTTTTACGCAGCAAATATTGGAAGACAATCTCTTCATCGGTTGGTTGAAATCGAAAACCAGGAGGCAGCCTGATTACTCCATCCTTGACAAAATTCAGACAGCCCATATCCTCAATTAATCCCAGAGTACTGAGACAGAGACAGAGACACAAAGGAAGAGAGCTCTGGGAAGATGTTGATGATGAGGAGGCTGTGCTTGATAGGTTAAAAGTCATGGCTCTTTATAGTGCAATGGACTAGGACATAAAGGTGATGGTATGGATACTTGGGAAGCTTCAAATTTAAGAAAGAAGGATCGTATAATCCTTTTTCTTTTCTACTGTCTAATGGTCCATGAAGATCAAAATGCTTGGTTGCTTACCCTTTTTTTCCCTCCACGAACAAAGCTGACTAGGAGTTTAATAAAATACTACTACTACTGGTAAAGAAAGATAGAAAGGTCAGCTAACATGGTTGTGTTTCTTACTATAATTTATGATTGTGAACAACTTTCAAATTAAAATTACGTGTCATGAATTCAAGAGTAAAAATATATATATTATTAACATATATAAAATTAATCCGTAACATCAATCTAATTAATTTCAATCTAAAACCAAAAAAATGAGCAACTATTAGCAAGATTTTAATTACCCCTTGTGCATATGAACATGAGTCAATATGACGTAATATTATGTAGAGATTTTAAATGATAATATCCATACTGTCATGTCAGTAGTGACTTAAATGGATCCATAGAGGCTTGGATCTAGAAAATAAGTTGTTTTGTTGCATCGTAAAATTAAAATTATACGTGAATAATTTTAAATGCCTATTGATTTTTCTTTAATGTTTAAATTATTTGTGAGAGCAAAGGACTTCTTCATTTTCTGTTGATACTTTTTTTTTTTTTTTTTTTTAACTTTTCAGCATGTGACTTGGATAAAAATATCCCTATTCGTAATTGAATTTATGACCACTCCTTTTTATATAAAATTATAAAAAAAAATAAAAAAAATATGAGCTATTTTGATAGTCAGGAGTGTCATTAACTCATTATGGAGTTCTAGTAACATTTACCATATTGTAAAATCAAACTTACGTAGAAGAAGAAGATTTGTGTGTTTTCTTTTCTTTTTTTTTTTTTTGGCCCTTTTTGGTTTTCTACGAGGAAGAGATTTAAACTGACAATAGACTCCATATTTTTCTATTTCGTCCGATTCTCTTTCGTATTCTTATATCAGTCAGAGTTCCAAAGTGGTAATTGTCATCATGAGCAAAGAATTACGTAGCAAAGAAAGAAACTTTATCCTGTTACGGAGTAATATCGTAGACAAGATAATATATTTTCTACTTTGGCTGAAGACAACAAAGATATACAGACGATGATTGGCAACTGGAAAAGAGAGCAAAAATGCTTTCAATTTTCTTAGGCGGTAAACTTCACTGATTCCTTTGGAGAAAATAAAAAATCTACAAATGATTCCATTTCTAGAGAACGAAGAAAAAAGAGAAACGTGATGAAATAGATTCCCACTTCCCCGTGCATAAGTAAAACAACTGGCAGTGAATCATTATATTCCTCACATAATCATTTTGTTTGCATCGTGTTCATAATTGATAATCCAATCCATTATCTTTTGTTCCATGACTGAATTAGCAGCCAAAAAAATTTTCTTCTAGTAACATTTTAGAACAAAGAAACAGGATAAATATGCTGGATAAAACCATTTTCAACTCTACAGCTAAATTAGAAAATTTCAACTAGCATTTAAAATTTGGGTTTTTTTTTAACAAGCGCTCAATGTGTACTTGTCAGCACATCTACGTGACATCTAACCTACCGTTTAAATACACATAATAACAATAATTATCATCGCTTGTATTTATATATTTTTTCTAAGTACAATTATATATTATCCTCCCTCGCATTTATACCCTTTTCCTAACTAACTTTACCTTTTCAAAAATTTACACCCGAAATATGTTTTAACGAGTGCCAATTAGACATTCGTTGGACAGACCCTTCAAAATTTCACCGAAGTTGGCCTCCTACGATTTCATTATTTTTCCCTCCGCACTCTGCTGTTAGCTTTATTATAGTTTAACATGTTTGCATTATATGGTTTTGACAATCTTTTGAACTAAATTAATTGTTTGCTTTGAAATATGGATATCTGACATAGAAAGGTCGTCGATCCACCTCTATCATAAGGTGACATTTTAAAAGATTGAAATAGCGGATGTCTTTCTTTTAGCTGATTTTGAAAAAATATGCATAGTTTGGTTTGAAAGTAGGAAAAAGCTATCTGCTTTCACATAAAAGTGAAGCCCTCGAAAAGATAAGGGTTGAAGATCAAAGCCGATTGACCCATATGGGATAGCATAGGTGCCTTCCTTCGTTCAGAAGGTGCTGCTTTTGTTGTTCCATATACAGATGGTGGTAAAGTCATAAAGGTAGCTCATGAACGAAAAGCAGCAAAATCTGCATGCATTCTTGCAATCCCTTTGCATTAATTTCTTTAGTTAAATGCTCCTCTTTCCCTACCATTGAAGGCAATTAGAGGGCTTGATCTCATTTTCTTAGTAGAAGATCAAAAGATCCAGAGCTGTGAAATTTGGTCTGCATATAGGAAAAATTACCAACTTGGAATTGCTAAAATGCAGAGCAACAAAGATCATGTCGGGATCAATCAAAGTCTTTCGATAAAATATGAGGAATTATTACAATTATTTTTAATTAATAAAACAACATAACACTGTTTGTATTTTGCCCAACCATCCAATCCCCTCACGATGCTTTTCTTGGTAGATGACCGTTTTGGTTGATTGACCCTAATTCATGAACTATGTTAATTTCTAACTCACATATATTGAAAGATTTATGATATTCCCTAACGTGCATTTTCTTCTTTAGAAGTTATTTTGAGAGATTTCGTGATTTTGGAATAACCACTGAAAAATAAAAAATTCTCAATGTTTGTTCAACTAGTCCAAAGAAAAGAAAAAAAAAAAGTTTTCCAAGGCTCCACCTTCGGAAGGAATGACATGTACAGGCAGCTTCTGTGTTTGGCTAAGCGGATATTAACCAAAACTAGTAGCCACTGGAATATAACAGCCGTAGAAAATTAGCATGCTAGGTTCATTATGGAGGGATTTTTATTTGGTTTAAGGGAAATTCAAACCATGCAGGAAAAAAATGGGAAAAATGGGAGGTTTAAGAGTTAAATATATTAATTTTTACTTTTTCAAAAAATTCTAAACTTTATAATAAAAACGAAATACTAAGCTCTTATGCATTAGGCATTATACAAGATGAGGAAATACTAATCTTCAGTGTCATGCACACTAACTGTATAATCAACTCAAGTTTTTGCTCGTAATTGTACATCTTTTGATATGAATATAATCAAATTATTGTTTCAAAAAAATATAATAAAAAATGAAAAAAAAAGAAGAATTTGAGATTCGAACAAAAATCTCATTATTGCTTAAGTAATCTTTTTACAAACCAAATTTTGGCTTTGTTTGTATTTTCCATTTTTTGAAAAACAAGTTTTTTATATACAATGTTACAATAATATACAAACAAAAACAACTCCAAAAATATCATATTCATACAATATATTAAAAATAACTCCAAATATACAAAAAAAAATTAAAAAATAAAATCTACACTATCTTTTTCTTCCATCTATCATCATCACCATTACCCCCACCCATCATCTTCCTCCTCTTCCTCTTTTCTCCTCTTTCCTCTCCCTCCCTCTTCCTTCTCCCTCTCTTTCTTCCTCCTCTCTTTTCTTCCCCTTCCCCTCCCCTTCCCTACCACATCCCACCTCCTCCCCTTTAGCCTACCAAAGGCCGCGATCTGGTCTCGACGAGGCCAGATCGGGAAGGGGAAGAAAGGGGAGGGGCAGGGTGTGGTGTGGTGAGAAAGGGAAGGGAAAGGGAAGGATGGGAGGAGAGAGAGGGAGGAGGAGGAAGAGGGACGGGAAGAAGAGAGGAGGAGGGAGAGAGAGAGGGCGGTGGCCATGGTGGGTAGTGGTAGCAGGTGGAGTGTTAAATTTTAAAAATTATCTTAAAAATTTTTCAAAAATATCACTAAAAATATTTACAATAAAAATTTTTTATATACATTATTACAATAAAATATTTTAAAAACGCGTCTAAAAATAACTAATCTAAATGGAGCCTTTGTAATTGGCATTACCCGGCATAAATTGTTTAGGCTGGATGGAAACGAAGCATAAAGTGTTGTTTTGTGGACTTGGCCTAATCGTATCGAAATGCTTGTGCAGACCTGAAAGCTTGGGTTGACTGTAGCACAACAGGTGACAGAAAGGGCCCAAACTTTCCAGTTTACTAGGGGTTGTTAATTTAATAACGTTTGTGTTTCATGTTTTCCAATATTATATGTGTTTTTTTCAGAAAAAAATATTATATGTGTTTAAAACTTTATGAACAGAAACCCAAAAAAAAAATTTGTTTTTGGTAGAAGTATAAACAAAAAACATTTCTGACACTGAGGGCAGTTTATAAAATACCAAAAAAGTCGTTTTTACTTGTTCTTGAAACAAATACTTGTGTCCTTAAAAAAAAAAAACAAATACTTGAGCAGAGTGAGGTGCAAATTTTGAATTTCACGGTCCCGGTTTTATTTCTTCTCTCCCCCCTCTAATCTTCATCGTCAATAATAAACTGGCCAACCAAGAAAGGCAAAAGCCAAGAAGTGAAGGATGATAGGGAATGCCAAAGAGCAAGACCTTTGTTTTATACCGAGCTATATTCCATTCTTTGTGAGTTTCCTCAATATTACATGAATTACATATAAAATAAGGTCAACTCCAATCCTACATTATTAACCTTGTGTCAATTCTAATCTTGTTGCACATTTTTGTCTATTCGCAATCAATTCCAATATGTAAAAATTGCACCCTACTTTTTACCAAAGAGCAATATCCCTCTACTAGCACATACCCTTATCATATACGATTCCACATTATACACAAATCATGTAAGTTCATCACAAACAAATTTCTAAATCTCACTTGGTTAATGTCTTGTGAGTTCAGTTATATTGGCAACAACTAATTTATCCTAAAAAGAGGGGATCTTGTATTTTGTACCCTAAGAGCACCAAAATAAAAGGTGGAATCTCGCTTACACTTCCATTTTTTGTATCACCTAACTCATCTCTCCCCCGAATAAAAGGTGGGGTTAAGGTATATTTTCTCCGCAACAAAATGTACACAAAATTGAAGAAAATGCAAATGTACGAGTTCATCTTTAAAGCAACTGAAAATTATGATATGTCTAAACAATAAATATCAATGTAAAATTTCTAAAATTAAGAAGATGGTCGTCATTTAATTTATATATGTTGTGCAGATTGTATGTTGTTTAAAGTGGGATTTTTTTGTTCGAAGGATTTGAAGTAGGATTTACCACAAATATATTTGTCTAACTAATCTATCTTAAGTGAACTACTAATGGTAAGGTCCGCATATGCTAGTCGGCCCAGGTCAATGGGCTAAAGTCAGACCGTACCCCCATGTAGCCTAATACAGCTATCGCTAGTTTAGACGGCCTGTTGGCTGTTACTCAGAATTGTCTTCGTCTAGGGTTTAAGAAGGGGTCTAAGAAGGGCAATCTCAGACTTCTAAATCCCTGAGCTCAGTTGCTGAAAGAAGAAAAAGAAAAGTCACAAGTAGCGGAGTTCAAGTTCTCTTTTGCTGATGGATACTTCAAGGGTCAACTCCACTGAATTGGAGCAGTTTCTGAGTGTAAGTTCTCAATAAGGATCTCTTTTTCTTGGTGTATTCATTTTTTTTTTCAAATTCTTCTGTTCTCGATCTCTAATTTGCTTGTTCTTTTTGTTTTCTAGTTTGCGTTTGAATAAATGGGTTTTTCGGAATTTTTTTCTCCTCATGAAAGATGGAAATTCTAATCGTCAATGTTTTAGTTTGCGTTGTTTTGTTTTTCTGTTGTTTTGCTGTTGATTCTTGAACATTTGAATATCTTCCTAAATGAGCATTTTTTTTTAATATTTTGCTTGTGGTGGGTTAGCATAAAATTTTTGATCGTGTGATGGTCATGAATGTCAATGAAGATAGATGGGTTTGATTTTTTATTTTTTAACTTTTGTTGCGAGGATAGCTACATTGATATTTTCACTTGCTTCTTGTTACCTTAGAAAAATAATAGGTGCCAATATTGTTATATTAAAAAAATAATAGCTACATTAATTTATGTGATGAGACTGGTAGCCAAAGATGATTATTACATAGGTAGTAGGATTATAGGAAATTCTATTCAGGGATGGAATTCGTGGGGTTTCATTGAAGAACTATGATTTCTGGTGATCTTGGAGAGCTAATTCCACTTTAAAGAAGAAGGTAGTTTAATTTTTGTTTCTGTTAAATTTTATTACGAGATAAAAGAGGCAGAAAAGGTGATGCTGTACATTGAACAAGTTATTAAATTCAAACATTGGTTTTGGAAATTAGATTTCCTTAAACCTTTTTAAGGAAAAATCATTGATCTTGCAAAGGTTGGATGCTTTCCTTATAATGGCTCCATAATTGGTTGATTGGCTAATATGTCCAACAGAGTAAACATGTTTTAAGCACGCAAAAGAAAAATCTATATGTTATGCAAGATAAAGCTTAAGTTGCCCTTTTTAAAGTACAAAGCTGAACTTCAGATTCTAAAGGATCTGCAATGGCTAGTTAAAACGCAAGTATTTCTTTCCATTTTATTCATTCTTGGTCATAGAGATGAGTTAGAATTTATCTTGAAACTGGTAGAGATGGCTATTGGTCTGAAGTAAAATGTGGCAAACATATTCGTTTGGAAACTTACTAGTAGTTTTTCTGCCTAAAGGAGTATAATTCTCAGCAATTGGTGCTTTTTTTTACTGTACTTGTATATGCAGTTAGATGCAAAGTTAGATGAATACTTGGAGGACTACCCCAAAGGAGCGAGGAATAGCTTGAATACTTTTTCTGGGCCCTTTGTGTTTGGGAGAGAGAAATTATATAGAAAAGAAAAGCGTTTGAAAGGAAGCTTTTTTCTTGTTTGGGAATTGCAAAAGGAAAAGCAAAATAGTGAACAGAGTAGGCTTTTATTTTTTCTGCCCTTGTGGAAAGAAATGGGAAAAAAAAAAAAAAGAAGAAATTTTAGTTGATGAAAGCATATAATAGCTAAAATCTTATTAATCAGTTCAACTGTCCTAACAGAACAGAAGGGATATACAACACATAAAATTGCAGAAGTTTATGAAGTAAGAAAGCAAGTTTTATTCTTTCTAAATCCCCAACCAAAATTAATGGGCTGTTCTTTTGTTTTGTTTACTTTCCTACTAGAACTCTCTTTTTTCTGTACTTGGTTTAAGTTCCAAAGAGTGGGTTAGATATTTCTTGATTATGATGTGTCTCTATTCTGAACTATTGTCTTTTGGAAACGGTTCTAGTTTGCAATTATTGGGATGAAGATGGTTTTGAGATGACAAAGATACAAGAGCTTGTCCTGGAGGTATCTTATTGAGGAATGGTTGGAGAAATGTAACTAGATGGGTAGGTATTTATTCTCTTAACCATCCTCGGACGGAGTGCAGTAGGATCAGGATGATAGGGGAAATTTGCCTCAGGATTGAATGATAATTATGGATCCCTTGACAAATCCATGGAATGGATCTATATGAAGAAACCCGTTGCAGCTATAAGTTGTTAATGAGATGGTCGTCATCTGGCAAAACACATGATTATGTCCTTGTACATACCTGTCAAAACTGAAGTTACACAAGGGACAGAAAAATGTACGAATCTGTGCTTTTGGTGAACTAGTGTCAGGTTTTATGTCTGTACAAGTTTTCCTGCTGAGCTATGTGATATACCTTGAATTTTCCTTATTCTTTAGTGAGCATAACCTGATTGAAATATTAATGTCAGATCTTTTTGTTTCTATAGATATTTAATGTTAATCATGTAATACTGCAGAAAGAGAAGGAAAAAGCCATGGCTAATGAAATAGTTGCAAAGCTTACTCACATATGCTGGGACAAATGCATTACCAGTACTCCTGGAAGCAAGTTTAGCTCTAGCGAAACCACTTGTCTCACAAACTGTGCTCAGCGCTACATGGATATGAGCATGATAATAATGAAGCGCTTCCAATCCATGCACTAAAGATTAGATTGGCATCTTAATGGTATTGGAGGATGGTGCTTTCCCTTTATTAAAGAAAAATTTCTGTCAGTTCTGTTTTCTAATCCTCCTTGTAAGCAGCAGGATATTGTTCATAGCATATGCTGCTACTTTTGACCAGTAAATGCCGATTATTTAACTTTAATACCTTTTCAGTTCTTTGCTTACTGTATTTGAGTTTACTCCTGTTTGCAGTTGGTTTAAATCGTGAAAGTTATTAATTACATTTTCTGGTTGTTGGCGAGCTAATTACTTGCGTATTCTCGGTTTGACTAAGCAGCTTCAAGAAATTCTTATTGGACATTCGAAATTTCGAATACCTCGTGCCTTCTCACTTCATAGAACTAGCACTATAAAAAGGCAAGGAGCATGGCTCGCTTTTCTTTCATGCAATAGGCTAAGGGTGCAAGACGTAATCTTGTCTTGCAAAGATGTGGTGATCAGTCCGCAAGTCATACTCCCTCCAGTACTCATTCAAACAGCAACAGCTGCGTGCTGCCATAATTCATGCAGTAATTGGGGGACTGTTTTAGGTGATGACAAGCACCAAACTGTGTAATTACGAGCATTCTTGAGCATCCAAAGTTCCAAACTATTTGAACAGAAGAAAAGATGTGAAATTTGGAAAGCTTGCTTTAAATCCTGGTGTCCACATTTCAGTTCGACAACCTCCTATGCTTTTATTTCTTGGGGATGGAAGGTCTGAGTTAAATCAAGTATACGGAGACATCAAGAAATGGGAGCACAAGAAAGGTCGGTAAAAATATATTATGATAGAAACAAGGAGTACGCTTAAACTCGCACATTCTTTTTTTTTTTTTTTTGTGTCAAAAGTCATTCCTTAAACTCGCACATTCACAATCGTTGAAAGAAGATATACAGAGAGCACGCACACCTCAAGACTTTTCAATCAAGCAAAACTCGAAACTCGCAAGCATTTCCTTTTCTTTCTTTTACCCTTGATGGAAAAGGGAGGAGGTTTCTATGATTTCCCCTCTTCTCTCCCCTGTTTGTTGTAGTATCCAACTGATTTGTCATTGCTGATTTTCTACTGTAAATCTTTCGCCTAGAGGAATGTGATTTGAGTCTCCCATTCGAGAGGCCATTGCGACAATCTCAGGGGAGGCAGCAGCGGGTGGTTGCTGGTCGGATAATTGAAAGTTGTCCAACTCTTTAGGCATGCTTCCAACTTCAGCCGGCATATCCAAGCTTCCACTTGTCCTTGCCCAACTAGAGCGCCTGGAGTGTAGAATACTCCTTCCCTCTGTGCTCTCAGTAAGAGTGATCCTACTCAGCTCAGGGGAAACGATTGGCAGTTCGCCAGATTTGTCCAGACCATCATCATGTCCATATTGCCTTTCAAATTCATTTGCATTAGTAGTACCTTCATCCCAAACTGGCTTTCTTCCCATCTCCAGATTACCCAAGGGTTTCCCAACTTTCGAAACTGAAAAACCATCACCCACCACTCGAGGTGGGAGCTCGGGCTCTCTCTGCACCTTCGCCCTAAATTTGAATTTTGACGGAGGAATCCTGGTGCAGAATACCTCCATGAAGTTCTTAGAAATCCCTTTGTTAAATGGATTGGCTCGTCGATCATATCGGTATCTAAAGTTTTCATATGTCGACTGCAAAACAAACGAACAACTTATCACGTTATCCATATAAACTACTGGGTTCTGAAAATGGACTTAATCATCAATATTTTGAAACATTAGGGGCCTCTCCCAAATGTCCATTAGCTCAGGGAACAAGAATTGGAGGCAAGTAATCGTGGTTTTAGTTAAGCAGTTATACCTGGTTTGTGCTAATCAGATAAAGATGGAAGACTGAGAGGCCCCCAACAAACCAGACGCATACAAATGTGTAAACTATTAGGACAATGGAAGCTGGAGTCTTGCTCATTGCCTTCCAGATTGTTGTCTTCTCACTGTCCATTATTTTTCTGATGTAAACCCAACAAAAGCCATGTACGTACAAACACAGGATTGTTGTTGAGAAGACGAACATGAAAAAGAACCTGTAATTCCGCTGCACCAAAGACAAAATGATATATTAAGAGTCAAACATACAAGTAAGATTGCCCAAAGTTAAAGAAATTTCTTGTCAATACTCGTAAGGGCTACCAAACTATGAGTTTTAGTTACTTAAAAGAATAATTGAACAAGCACTCTGAAGATCACACTGCAGATAGCATAAAGTAACATTCATGTTGGAGTTGCTATATCTGTTATCAGCCACCTCGAAAAGTTAAATATCCATCACAAAGTTACATTTCTCAATTTCCTGTAAATGTTTCAGGGGAATCAAAATGCATGATACGTTGAGCAGGCCAAGCCAATTTATTTAGGTGCTTTCTATTTCCAATGGTAAACATTAGGAGTCGGAAATCACTGAGATCAATAGAAAAACATGGTTAACAACACTAAAAATATAAAATTCAAAAGGCTACGGATTACTACCCTGCACCCTTTTCCCTCCTAACATCATCCACAAGAATCTAACTAATACCTCCACCAGATAAAAAAAATTTTATTTTCCCCCCTCCTACTCCCATTCCCCTCCCATAACCATATACTAAACTTATCGTCTTTAGTCCATATACAATAAATCAAGTATTTGACTGATAAGAGCTAAAAAATCAAGCTTTCATCAATTATTCACTGGGGTTCAAAAAAGTTTTGGGCAGATCAGAGAAATGCAAGAGTAATGACAATATCATTTATATTCAAAACGGTTTTTATCTAAAGATAACTATTATTAAAATAACAAACAAGCCATAAAGGACAAGCTACAGATGCTTGCTCCTAAGATTTTTTAAGTTAGACAAACATACGCGTTCTGATGCAAAACAAATCAATATATGTTGCTATAACAAATTAACCATGTACAAGTAAATCACGCCATTCATAGTGTAATGTAGAAATAAGTGTCTAATTGCTGTATTCTTGAAAAATATACAGCCAGAATGTAAACCTTTTTTTTGTCAAAACATCAAAAATCACCTAATGAAAAGAAATGTAAAAACAGCTTCATGGTCCAAACGAAGCTGAAATAACTATTTGCCTATATCATTGGATTTTTTTCCCAAACAATAATTAGACATAACAATACTTACCAATCCAATGCATTGTCCGACCCACGGACAGTGATGATCAAATCGTTCCACACAGTTATTGCATATGGAACAGTGTGAACAACGTGGAGGCCTATATAGCATGCAGGTATCACAATATTTAACTTTCACTACAACGCCATTCACATATACATCTTTGATGCGAGGAAGACGTAACTGTGGAGTTTGGCCAGGCTCTATTTCTGGACTGCCTTCATAGGCTTCTGGCTCCGGAGGACGTGCACTACGAGGAACTATACCAGGATCTCTTCCAGAAGTCAGGAGGAGAATGACCACATCCTAATGAGAAAAATAAAAACCCATCAGTTAATTACCCTACATGATTTAGCCAATAAATAAAGGACAAAATAAGTTATCCTTACACCTGTAAAAGATCGAAGAGAAAAAGGATCCATTAATTAGTCACAATTTTAAGGAGCAGATGCACATCCTTCTCAATATTAGATCATGCCTTCATCTCAAGTACATGCAGCAAAATTACTGCCAAATTAGGTGAGAGTGAAATTTAATAAATTAAGGTAGGGCATATATAAATCAAGAGCCATCATGTTAAACTATTCATGTTTAATATATTCATACATGGGTAATTTTCCACAGCATCTATTTACTGAACTTGGTGGTTTTTTTGGCAGCTGTAACTCACTTCATTTCCTTTATCACAAGCACAAGCTTTTAGCTCCAGCAATCCAATTAAATGCGAATTTCCTCTAATCATTAAAGTTGAACTTCTACACTTCTAAATAAAGAAACTTCAGTAATAAAAAGTAGAGATACAGTTAAGACGACATGAAATCCCCAAGGAAAAAAGATCAAGTTTAATAAGAATTGCCTCAAATTATCCACTATATTATATTGATGAAATGTTTAAGGAGATCTAACTGAAAAAAGATCCAATAATTCATAGAAAAAGAATCATAAAGTATGAGAGTTTCTGTTTTTAAGAACGTAGGAGAAGACCTAAAACTGAGGAAGCAAATGTTTGATGACATGGCTAAGGGAAGCTACTTGAGAAAGAGAACCCCAAAGTTTGGATATGAGTATTTATATGGTGCCATCGAATGATTGACACCAACTTAGTCCATATGATTCTTCTAAATAAATCTTTTCATTCATAGGTCATCTACCTAAAACACAAAGGGTAAGAGAGAATTTCGCAAGATTTCACTACACAACACTACAACAGACTCCACATGTAATATAATATCTCTAATGTATCTCCAGCCTATTAAGTACCTTCCGTATTAATCCTTCGTCAATTATTTAAGTATCAAGGTGAAGGTATTTTGGTATTTCTAAAAAGTGGAAATGTGGGATCATGCCATTTAATCGATGAAAAACAGTAATGAAAAGTATGTGATCATATTGGACACAGGATTGTCTACTGATCAACACAAATGCAGACAACAGGATTGGGCGCAAAGTTTGAAATCTTAGGAAGTCTGGCACGCCAAGAAGTTTACACATAGCACATCCATCATTCAACCACAGACATTTTTATTCTCATGGAATACAAGAAAGGAGTATATGGACTTACATAAACCGTGAAAACGATGACTACAACCATGATTGATATGCCCCAATGATCAGAAAAATCATCCATCAGCTTTCTGGCAACGAAGACGCAGAAAACAGCAACAGGAGCAATTATGAG